CATATTTTGTAGATCTGCCAAGATCAGCGGATTGGACAGATATTATGGCGTAGTAAAATCAGGTGATTTATTCCGTCGGATGATTTGCAGTTGTTTCTTCTATTACAATATATTAAGTTTTTTGTGTAGATGATTTGATAAATAAATTCTTTACTTTTAACCAAAAAAAATTTAAAAGTAAAAATTATGAAAATACATTAAGTTTCACTATTCAAAAATATATTAATATTTAATATTTATAATAATTAATAAAATATATAATAAATCTTAATTTAAAATAAACTAAATTTAATATACAGTGGCTTACAAAAGAAACGCAAGTAAAGTTGCTTGCCTTTAAAAGCTTATAACTCATCAACCACAAATGCTAGATTGTAAATTTATAAGGAGAGACTATTGATCAGATTTTTGTGAATAATCATATATCAATTCTGCAGTTACATAAAAAGGTGATGTCCTGGCTAGTGAATCCTTTTATTTGCCTTACATAAGAAAAGTAAAATAGATTCACATAACCAGTCTATGTACAATTGCAAACTTGAGTTTATTGCTTGAAATGTTGCAGGTAAGATAATATTCTAACTTATCTTGAGAATACAATTTCGCTAATTCAGGATTATAAGGAAACTAATTCCTATTTTCGCGATACCATTTGCTGTGTAATCCATAATTCCCATGTTTTCCATTACAAATAGGGTATAATGAGTTCCATGGCTGAGCTAATGCAAAATTATAATTATTAATTCCCCTAAAACTATTTTGGAATTTCAGGTATGTGAAATGCTTTAAGACAGATTCAATAATTAATTCTGAATAGGGTTTGGCTTTGTAAGTGATAGGCCTGAAATCAGAAGCTTGAGGTTTTGCTGATACACTTGTCACAGCTTTTGATAATTGCCATGGCTTATTTCCAATTTCTTTTTTATATCTTTTATATAAATTGGAATGAATCTTATCTGTCAAAACACTTGGTAAACCAATTAATTTGACATGTCAATCCAGATATTCAGGGATTAATATTTTATCAGACTTGGTCATTTCCCTTTTTATGTGACCTCAAACAATTTAAATCCTTTTTTTCTTATCAGTTCGAAAAAAGATTAAAAATTTTTAGATAGAATGCTATTTAATACAATCGATCCTCTCTACTATCACACCCCTCAGGACCAAAAATAAAAAGTGTGACTATAGTGAAAAGTGACTATATAGAAGGATTTTTTTATAGTATTATTAAGTATTGGTTCCAAAATGATGTGACTATAATAACATTGTGATTATAGAAGGGTTTTTTTATATAGTGTTAATAGGAACTGGTTTTTATGAAAGGTGTGCTTATAACGGAGGATTTAGATAATGTGATTGTATAGGAGGTGACTATAGAGGGGGTCGATTGTATTTCTTATTATATTTTCAAAAAAATAGATCATCTCCTGCGCTCATAAAACAGGGAAGACTATGCAGTTACCATATACTTCTGAAATTAAGCACTCCTAAATTTATGAATATGCTTAAAATAAGCACCTCTCGAAAAAATTAAAATTAATGGATTTTTTTATTTTTAAAGTATTATCATGTGAAATCAACAGTTCAACAAAGAAAAATGCAATTTTATTTATTCATTTATATTATCACTAACATTAATTATCTTTCAAATTATCATCACTCACATCATTCTTCATTCTCAAAATCACTAACATCATTTTCCAAATCACTAATATCAGTAATTTCTAAATCATCCTCAATTTCTTTATTGGAATCCCCTATATCATCTAACGTATTGGAAATGTCACAAGTCTTGAAAGAATCTATGATGATTTTGGTAGAGATTCCCTCCCAAGAACATTTCACTCATCCACATACATTTCCAAGTTTAGCTCATTGAAGATTACCTGCAGCTGTCTGTTCAGCATCACCAGCGGCCATTCAAAGATACCATTCCTTACGTAAGTTATTTTTAAATGGTTTATTTATAGCAACGTCAAATGGTTGACATAAACTTGTCAATCCACTTGGTATAACAGCTAAATCAAATCCGCAATTGTGAAATTTCTGTTTTACTGATTCCTCCAGGTGTTCACGAAAAGAATCGTAAATTATTAACATCGGAGCCCTAGATCCATCAATCGCTTTGACATCTTTAAGATAATCAACATACCATTTTATCAATTCAGAATCCATCCAACTATTTGTTTGAAACCAAACAAATACACCAGGGTTATATTTTCATCTTTTTGTAATCGCTTTCCTTTAAAGATGCAGATTAGAGGAAACTTTGTATCATTTACAATAAAAAAAAATTTAATGTTAAATAAAACAAAATAAAAAATTCAAAATCAAGAATATCTTTGAAATATTATTGAAAATCAAATGAATCGTTGAAATTAAAAAAAAATATGTTTGAAATATTTTTAAACACATCAAACAATCTAATTAAAATTGGAATTATAAGCCTAAAAGTTAGAATTATAAGCCTGAAAAATTGGAAATATAAGCCTGAAAAATCGGAGCTATAAGCCTAAAAATCACCATAAGTCTGAAAATTGGAACTATAAGCTTAAAATCACTAAAGATTTGTTTAGATCTATAATAAAATCTAAAATCAGAATCATAAAATCTTAGAAATAGAATCACGAAACTATCATAATACCATAACTTGAAATCGGAATATAAAGCTTAGAAAAAAACTTTGCTTAGAATAGAACTTGTTAAATTTAATTTCATATGATGAATTTAAAAACTATTTATTGTGACCTACCTGCTGCATATGTCAAAACTACTATAAATCAGATTTTATCATTGCCGGTACTGCGAATATGAACTGTTTTCAACCCCTTTGTATTGACAGTAAGAATGTTGACCAATTCAAAGGATTTTTCAGTTCTCAGACGGATAACAAATTGAATTTGGCTAACAATTCTTCCATTTGACTCAGAAGTATTTAGGAAATTTTTGTACATCTTCTCCAAGATAGTTTATATTTTTTCAGAAAACAGGACAGCCATTGATCTGACATTCTAAAATCTTTTGCTGAATCTCTATACAAAATTACCATTTCAGGCGTCTCCATAATTTCTTGCATTTTAACTTGTAGGATCATATAAGTGACTGCCAATTCTTGTTTTCTTTGCTCAATGACCCAAGTATACAACTTACCTTCAGCCTCAGGATAAAAGGCTTTTCGACCTGAGCCAATTCATTTGCTATTTTGTTTTATTTCAGTATTCCAATTTTTACTTGCTTTTAACCAACAACCTATCATACTAGCATCAAGTTGAAAATGGTCTGCCGTTTTGTTTCATCTATGTTGCTTAGCGTAAGTAATTACTTGATTCTTTTGGGTAATAGAATATGAAACACGATTATGTTTAATACTTTTATTAACTTTGCGTATTCTTGTCATTTTTTGTAAGAAGGTTACCAAAATGTGCTTCACATTATGAAATAAATTATTTGATTACATGAGATCATTTGATTGCATAGGATAATTCATTTTGCATAGTTTCAAATATCATTTTGTTGATGCAATTTCGAAAAGAAAATTTTTTTAAAAAAACCATTCAAAATTAAGCAACCCATAGTAAAAGGGGTGCTTAATTTCGGAAGTATATGGTATATCAATTTCACGCTGTTCACTTATACCTATTTCTTCATCATCATGACCTAATTTGCATAATAGGCAGATGAGACCCACATGATGTTTCATCAGTAATCCTATAATAATCGAAATTTTCACTACTACATCCCTAAATAAATTTGGATATTGATCCAATATCTTGTTGCGAAAGTATAAGTTAACTTAGATTAGGCTCGTACATTAGTCTGATTGGTTTTTGAAGTCTGGGATGTAGGTGGAGTGCTTTTCCTGACATCTGGTGATTTTTTCGATCCAGACTTGTTTGATTCAGCTGGTAGATCACGTGAGCGTGAAGAATTCTTCACACTGATCACTTTTTGATATTCTGCAGTATAAAGGTTTATTATATTTTGAATTTATGCATTCGTTAAACTTCCAATAGCATTGACACTGTATGTAACTAACCCAATTTTATCTATTCCTATTTTTTTAAATAGTGTATAAATATTTTTAGCTTTTTGAATCATCTTGCATAAATTCTCTCTCTTCTTACCTGAAAGGTAGGGCTCAATTTCATCATAAATCTGCGTTCTTGCCATTTGATCACTAATATTGCTTTCCAAAGCAATAGTTATGACTTTTTTTTCAAATTCCTCACTATAGTAATACCAATGTAACTTTTCTTTCCAACCAGTTTTTTCGGCCTTATCAAATAAGTAAGTTAAATAAGGTATAGAATCTGAAGCTAGATCAGAATCGACTGGAATTTGTTTACTAAATGCTGTAGAATTCGGTAAAGATTCATGGCTTCTAATGAATTCAAATAATTCATATACTAAACCTTTTCTACTTTTTGTTTATAGGGAACTTTCCCCTCCTTACTATATTTAAAGCCGGACGAAGCAACATATGATTCGGATGATAGACTGGCAAGATAAACATCTTGTCCATCTTTTTCGTTCAAGAGAATGATAGAATCCTGAGATTCGATACTAGAGATATCGGTTATGAATGGCTTTGAATCCAAATTCTTCTCCCGAGAATCACCTTCTCAAAGCTTTTTCTCCCACTTTCTTTGTCTTATTTCCTTACTAATCCTTTTCTTATATTCTTCATCCAAGAAAGCGTCTATCCCTTTGTTCTCTAATGACCCCACTTGATCTGGTAGCAAAACTACCTCTTCGATCTGTAGGGTGAGAGTCAAACTATTCTGATTGCATAGCCCTGGATCTCGCATCTCTGAATTTAACTGACTATGAATTTCGTGAATAGGTGGGAACTTACACTATTTGGCCTGAGCTATAACTGAGTCAGGTACGTTGACAAATTCTTAAAGAATAAAATCATCTATTACCTTATCTGGTACCGATTGCTCTGCAATCACCTCAAATACCTCTTCCATTGACTTGGTATTGACATCATTTTGCTGGTCTATTACAGAATCAGATTCATCAACAGCTGATATTTCTGCTATCGTTTCCATATTATTCTGTAACTGCTTATCCACTACTGAGGATTCCTGTTCCAATATCAAGAGTCTGGCCTCAAGTTCTGTATTGTTTAGTTCTAATTCCTTGACTCTAGCATCACGCTTAGCATTCTCATCCATAACCTGCTTTAGAAGCTCAACATTCCTAGTCTCAATCTCAGCTTTCTCAGCCTCAAGCTTGGCGTTCTTAGTCTCAAGCTCGCTAATGCATTGTTTCAATAATTCAAGCTCTGATGTCATGATCTATAAAATTATACACTGTATATAAGCATTCAAAATAAAAAATCATGTGCGCATGAAGATTCTTCACGCTGATCACTTTTCCCAAGAAAAATAATTTTTTTATTATTGCATATGAAAAATAAATGCAAAGGATCAGGACGCGAAAAATATACTTGATACAATGTTTTCGACTTGAATTCTTTATTGATGCAGTAAATAAATTACATGATTCTGCTTGTAACCAAAATACATAAATTTACAAGTGAAATAGCTTTTCTATATTAATTCTAAACTACCTATACTAACATATATCCATAATCCGGTTTCATTTGTCATCATAGATATTCTGGATAAAATAAAATGGTCGTCAATTATACTTATAAGACATGCATTGTCAGAAATAAATGAACGACATTAACCTTAGTAAAACTCGCTGACATTTTATGTTGTTTGCATTCAATAATGCTAGTAAGATCTGTACGAAAAAATAGTCATTAGTTTGCGAATTACAGCTGACTCCCAACACGGGATGAGGCCTAAATCATACAATCAGTCAAGTCGGGAAAATATTGTGTGGGATTCTGCAGTCTTCAACGTCAGAGATCTGCAAAAAAGAGTATTGCCGTTTATGAAGGAATAGGGATATCATCACGCAGATTTGTGTATCCAAAGTATGTTGATCATGATCGTCAGTTGGGATACCCCTTGATGCCTACTTTTGTGAGCAAATAATTTAGAAAAAGAAAAAACGAGAAAAAATATACCGAAGAGAGGTAAAGAAAAAATATTTTAACAAAAAAACAATATGGTTTAGACTTCAACAGCAATTTTTATATGGATAGGGGTTGGAGAAATAAAGAAAGGAAAATTTTTGAAAAGAGGGATTTTTTATTTTGTTCGTAGGCTAAGCCGCAGTTACCTTTGAATAGACACTTTTTTAAAGTAAAAATTCTTGGATAAAATCCAATGAGAGAGAGAGAGAGTTTTTCTATACTGTGGAGTGATCTTAATGATGAAATCCATTTTGTCAGCAAAAAAATCCCATTGAAGTAAAATGGTTTTGTTAAAGAGGAAATTCTGCTTGGTGATTTTATGTTGTTTTGAATAGACATTAGACGATTGATTGAAAAAATTATTTTTGTATAGCGATATCAGAAGGAGAAAATGATCAGATGAGTATAGAAAAGAAGAGTCATTTAAAACATCAAAAGAGACGAGGTCGTGTGCAAGAGAAGATAAAATGAAGATATAATCGATATGAGAAGAAAATGAGTTAGAAGTTGATGTGAAGGTAGCGGGAAAGAAGGATGTGAAAGGAGAGATTGTGTGAAGAAAGCCAAGGTTGATGATATTATGTAGAAAACTTTGTAAAATCTTTTTGTATTTAACCTTATAATTTCTAGAAATGTCAATGTTGAAATTACCCATAAGTATTACATGACAATTATTTCTTCGACTTTGAACTAGGAGGTTTATTAGTTTGTTTTGAATATGCAGTCTATTTTGAAAGGATTTTTTGTCATGATAACTAGCAGGGAGATAGACTTGAATGATACGTAATTTGAATTTGTTCTTAAATTGAAAATCTAAATGTAAAATATGGTCGAAAAAAGAGCCTTGATTGAAAAAGTGTGAACAAAGATTATTTCTAATCATAAGTCCAACCCTTGACAATTCTGAGAATGGTTTGAACTATGAAAGAAAAATTTGTAAGACTTGTCATAAAGGTTATTATTAAGAGATCTGGCTTGCAAATATGTAAGATGAGTTTCACTTAGATCTAAAATGTCGAGGTTGAAATTGATAAAAAATTGTTCAATTTGTTGAAGTCTATTTGAGGAAACACAGCTTTGAACTTTGTGTGTAGCAATTGAAAGTAAATTTGGATTGTTAATGTTAGAGAAAAAATTGGCATTTGTCATATTATTAATATTAGTAGGAATTGTAGAAGACGTTCCTTTAAAATTATTTAATTGAAGGTGTATATTCATTGAGAAATATTACTCACTTGAATGATTGGGCCGATAGTGTTGATCAAATTTCTCATTTCATTTTTGATTTCGTTAACGGATGATTCGACAACTCTGATTCTTTAAAGATTGTATGAAGAATTTGTATTGGGAACAGATGATTCATTAGAAATGATAGGTGTTTGATTTTCTTGAGAGGGTGGAGGTGTAGTGTCTTCGATCATGAAGTATTCATCATGTGAAGGAAAGACATAATTTGAGTCAGTAGCATGTGTGACATCATATTCAATATTGTGCATATATTCCAAACGATTTAATCTGAATCTAATATCATCTTCATTGTGTTGATGTTCACGTATATTGTTTTTTATGAAAACGATTTACTCGCTGATAGTGAGTAGCTTATTTTCTATACTATCAAGTCTTTCTTGGATGAGTTTCAGGGCATCAATAAAGTTCAGGGAAGCAGTTGGTGAAGGTTTATCATCCTAAAGAGGAGTGTTTTTGAGAGCATTTATATATGGTGTAGTACCTTTGAAGTTATTGAAAGTGTTATTATATGGTGGACGGTAAGGTTCTGATTTAAAACGATCGTAAAGCGGTCTGTAAGGATTTGTTAGTTTATGGTTAGTACAATCTTTAAATTCATGGCCAGAAGCACTATAGCTTCAGCAATGTTTGGTCAATGATTCTATCCAGTATAATGTTTTCCCTTTAAATTTCTGAGATTGCACTACCGCAGCATCAAGATCTTCAAATAATGCGAAGTTAATAAATATGTAGGCTCTAAGTCTGTATTATTGATCACGTGGTATAAAGCACATTCTGGCTTTGATATGAGTAAGAAAATCTCCAAGTTGTTGTTGATCAGTATTGAACGGGAGACCAGTCAGTTTTAGTTCGAATTGTTGTCTTAAAGCAATTTGTATAGGATCAAGATCAGTTGGTTCAATTTGGAAGGCTATTTCAAGAAACTTAATGGACCAAAGGTCATTATAGAAGGGCTTGATTATGTCAGCAGTTTTATAAATAATGAAAGCGATTTGCCAGGGGTCTCAGACGATCATTAAAAATCTGGTGATCGCTTCATATCTAGAGAAAAAATTGCGTAGTACATCAGATTTGACAAATAGAGGAATGTCTGATACTTTAAGGGTCCTTTCATTTTCAGCATTCTGTCTGAGCTTTTTTGCTGCAAGGTCAACAATAGTGAAAATTGGATTATGTTGTGTTTCTTGTACTTTTGTGATAGCATGAATTAATTTCTCTATCGATTGGAAATATACTGAAAATTTTCTAAATTTGAAAGCATAAGTTGAATCTTGGTAACCATTGAATCGTATAAATAAAGAGTTAATGAATGTGTGTTTTTCAGCTATAGTTTTGCCTTTTATATCTGACGCGTTATCTGTCATGAAAAAATGCGTAGGAGCAGTAATGATATTGTACGAAGCCCCTTGATTTTCTTGGTTATGTGACCCTTCATTTTGTTCAAGTTTTTCAGACCAAGATTGTTTCTTTTTCATTTATTAACGGGAGGAAGTACATAGTCGAAACCTGTATCTTCAAAAGGTTGTCACTTTTGGGTTAGGCGTGCATAGAGTCATTAGCGGTTTGTTTTGGAAGAGAAGTTTGGAAAGAAGTGTTGGTAGAAGTAGTATCAATATCTATTCCAGGGGTATTTCATTAGCGGGAATATTGTCGTCAGTAATTTGTTCAAATAAAGGTTCTTTATTGTCTGTTGACATAACATTCATAATAATTTTTCAATTTCTGGGTCGATTTCATTATCATTTGGAGTTGTAAAAGTTTTTTGTTTTTTTGGGAAATATTATTTTCGTTTATTTCGGTTGTTTTTGAAGAAGAACTTGTAGTGTAGGAGTTGTTGGCTGTGCTATTTTGTTTATTTCATTGGTAAGTATTTTTCGTTTGTTGTTTAGAAGAAGTTGCTCTGGTAATCAGCATAATTTTTATTTTTTGTGTTGATCTTTTTTAGTAAACTGGACGTTTAGAAGAAAGAGATTTTTTTTGATTTTGGATCATTCCATCTTGAGATATTTGCTATCGTATTTCGAAATCCAGACTCCTTTATTTAAAGTAGAATTTATTGATTTATAATTTCAGCTGATAATACAATTGTGAGTATCTCGTGATTGGATGATTCAAAATCAATGAATGTTAGCTCATTGAATCCGCCTAGTTTCGAGGAATTAAATGGTTTTTTTTTGTATTTTAATGATGCAGTACTGCCATAAGTTTATTAAAGTTTTTTATAATATACTAAATAAAAATTACA